TCCCCTAGAACAGAATGGATGCTAGAGAGTTTTATAAGTTTGCAAAGACTGGAAATTACAGGAAAAGAGATAGAAATCAGAGCACAGCGAAAAGACATTGATACTGTGTCACACTCCAAGACCCTTAAGAATTTGGAAACTTGCAAAGTCTACTCGGTTATAGTAGTAAATATCTTTAAACACGGCATGAGAATGTGGAAAACCACATTATACCTAAATCACCTAAAAGGCACTGACACAGACAATCGCCTGAAGATCCGACGATGAAACATTCAAGGAGACTCCCTGATACACCATCTGTTTTTTTTTCTGTCTGTAATCGCCATTACGCAAGAAGTAAGCAATAATAGTTTTGGATAAAAAGTAAAGAAGAAAGTATTCAATCACCAACATTCTATTGATGATCTGAAGCTCTTTGCCAATGGGTCAATGACTTTAAGGGTTTCCTCAATACTGCAAAAAAAATCATCGTTAACGACATATGTATGAATTTCGGATTAGATAAATGTGCAAATTTAACATTCAATAAATGGAGAATTATATATCGATCTAGATATTGATTTCGAAACTAAGATTAGGGAACTGTAACAAGAAGAACCCTATAGGTACATAAGAATTAGCGAGAGAGATGGAATACAACATAAGCAAATGAAAGAGAAAGTAACTAAAGAATACTACATGTTTGTGCATCTGGTATTGAATACGGAGCTGAATTCAAATAACAGAATATCAGCCATAAATACCTTGTCTCTTCCCGTAGTGCAATACTGTTTCAGCAACATTAATTGGACCATAGCTAATATTAAGCGAATGGACGCCAAAAGGAGAAAGCTTTCCATTTGCCACCGCATGAATCTAAGGCTGATGTTGATCGTTTGATCCGAAGTAGGCAGATTATTATTTCAACCAGAACTGTCTTACAAAATTACCAAAAAAAATGACCTTCAAAAATACCATGAAACTACAGACTGGATGATGATCTGTGTCGACGAATATGAAAGAGGAAACTGTATACAGTAATAAAGGACGCCAATCAGTTCAAAATGGAGTTTCAAGTGCGTGAAGAAATGCAAGTAAATCATAATAAACGTACTGCAAAATCTTTAAAAAAGGAATGCAATTGACCAGATACAGAAACGATGGCAAGATAAACCGCTTTACGGTCAATATTCTGCGCGTACGAAATAGAAGATGTAGACAAAACCCATACCCATCAGTGGCTGTGTAATTCACGGATAAAAGCTGAAACCGATTCACAGGGTCAATGCTTTCTAACTAGGCATTACCAATCACGCATAGTGGAAAATTGTGTTAACCCAAAATGCAGATTCTCTGATGAACCTTCAGAAACAACTGAGAATTTTGTATCAGGTTGCACGGTATTAGCTCCCCTGAATATTAAAGCCGGTAAGAAAGAGTAAGCCAATATCTGCATTGGAATCTATGAAACTTTTACAGAAGGGAAACTAAAAGAAATTGGTATGACGGAGACCCAGTTACGGAGATAGGACCTGTAACAAATTTATGGGACTTTACAATACATACAAAGAGAGCTATTAAATCTAATCCCAGACATCGGGATCAGAGATCAAAAGAACAAAATGTGCCTTCATATTGACATGACTGTCCCTGCAATGTAATTATCAGAAATCTTCAAAAAAGTATATAAAAAAGAAACTTGATATCGAAATCTACAGAATGTGGCACATGAAGACACCAACAACTTCAGTTGTAGTTGGAGGTCTATATTTGATTGAAAATAGTTGCAATAGGCTCATTGACGTGATTCCTGGTAGGCCGTCTCTTAACGATATAGAGAAAAGTGTACTCACATATACAGTCTACGCCTTACGAAAGGCTTTAGCTATGTAAAATATAAGAGATATTAGTTGGTTCAATTTTCCCAAAACATGATGCCTTTTCTGACATTTGGTCTCTGCTTGTGATCCGGAAAGATATACATCACACATAATAATAATAATAATAATAATAATAATCTCTCTGCCAAAGACAACAATGAGTTGAGAGACCTCCTCAATATTGTAAAATTCTTCAGTGACGACATATGTATGGACTTCGGTTTAGATAAATGTACAAAAGTAACATTCAAGAAAGGGAGAATTACAGAAACACCCTTAATAGATGTCACAAAGATTACGGAACTGGAGCCTGATGAAATTTATTAGTACCTAGGAATTAGCGAAGGAGATGGCATACAACACCCACAAATGAAGGAAAAAATAAGAAAAGAGTACTACAGGCGTGTGCGTCTGGTACTAAATACTGAGCTAAGCTCAAGAAACAGAATATCGGTCATAAACACATAGGCTGTCCCTGTGGTGAAATACAGCTTTAATGTCCTTAACTGGACCATAGCTGAAATTAAGCGAATGGGTGCCTAAATGAGAAATCTTCTCACTTGCTATCGCATGCATCATCCCAAAGCTGATGCTGATCGTCTGTATGTGCCCAGATCCGAAGGAGGCAGAGGATTAGTTCAACTAGAACTCCCCTACAAAAAATTGCTACAAGATAAATCAAGTTTAATGACAAACAGCGGATTTTGAACATGCTAGAAAGTGAACAAAAACTGAAGTCTAAATATATATTGTTACAACAATTTGTTCACTATTATTATTATTATTATTATTATTATTATTTTCTTTGATTTCTGGCGTTGACACATTTATTTCCGGGTCCCGCCCAGGGACCTAAGGTTAGAAATGGCATCATGACACTTTCCACTGACAAAAAAAATATTACATAGATAAAGTGTGGGCTGTACTTGTCAACAATTTTTTGTATCTCCCTGAGGCATGGACTTCCAGGAATCCCTTCAATTAGTCTACTGCAATCTTTTCCAACCAGTCCTAGGGCTCCAACTACAACAGGGGTTGTTGATGTTCCCATATGCCACATTTTCAAGATTTCTATTTCAAGGTGCTTGTATTATTATTATTATTATTATTATTATTATTATTAGTGTTTTATTTGATTTCTGGCGTTTACACATTTGTAGATTTTTCTTCGTTCACGAAATATATATTGATTACTTCGGACAAACGTACAAAAAAGAAATGTATTATTTGCACAACGCATATATCTTTCGCTTTCTTTAAATCACCGCCAAATTTACGAAAGAATATTACATAAAATATTTACAAATCCCAAATAAACATAAATCTCACTGACTTTAAAAAAAATTTACAAGAAATTTTAATATAATAATAATAGACAGGAGACACAGAAACTCCGATAAGTCAAAGAATATATTTTCTAAAAGGAATTCTCATAAAAAAATCATCATGCTTTGAGGTAATTATACGAATTTCATCAGTATCACATCGACATAATTCTACAAAGAGAAACACATTTTTATCGCTGTTATATTCGTCTCACCAAACTCAAATACCCCAAATTTGATAAATCCTAAGTTCAAAAGGTACCTTAAACCGAATACCTGAGAAAACAAACACCATTTTTCATATCTCCAAATTATTACGTGTCATTTAACCGGGAAACATATTGTTGAGATTTTTTCTGAAAAATCTGCTACAGTCCTACACAAAATTTTCGTAGTGTCCCCTTCCTAAACAAACGCCAACTAAATCACCTGGTTTTATACATTAAATAGACAGGGTCATAAGACAATGATATATTTTCTCTCCAGATTAATTCTACTATTACAGCGAGGTGATCTTGAGAAAAATTCTTTAAGGACTTACTATCAGGAGAAACGCATTTAACAACATAATGTGATAAAGTCTTCGTAGCAGACATATAAAGGAAACTGCAGGAAAATCTAGAAAGTATGCAAAAAGGACTAACCGTAAAGTTTAATATGGTTGCCATATAGACGATCGCACAAAAGTTGCTGACTACGAATGCGAAATCTCAAAATCAAGCAAGAAAATTTAAACGTTTGTGAAATGCGATACTGAAATCAGAAAAAAAAGTTGGAATAACTAAATGAACCTGCCAAAAGATATGTAGTTTATCTAATAAGGGAAAAACAAATGAAACGTTATGTAATACATTCCTAGTAAATGGTAATGAAAGAGGAAAAATCTAGTCAAAGATGAAGGGATTCTTCCAGACAAAGTAAATAAATATTCACAGAACGGTACTGAAAATAACATATACTGAACAAGGAAGTTTTGGGGAAAATAGAAAAAAGATCACTATTTACATTATTCGGACTATTGTCCTCATCTTTGTCGCCATATTCATCACACCGTTTCGGCCGTTGTATGCTCCTGCCTTCTTCAGGTGGTTGGAATGTCAAAATGAACCCTTTGTTTCGCTCACTGTGGAAGACTTCTAGTTTCAAGTGCCATAACTAATGAATGGGCTCATGGCACAGTGGATAAAGGCATTAGTTAGATTCCGTGACAGGACCCAAATAGTGTGAGTTCAATATCTAGTTAAGGCGGTGGTTAACCTGAAGAGGGGAATTAATAGGAGATAACTGATAAGTGACATCCATTAGACATGACATATGGAACTAGAACAATCTACCCCAGCGAAATAAAGGGTTCAGTTCGACATTCCAACCACTTGAAGAAGGTTGGAGCGTACGACGGCCGAAACGTTGTGAGGAATATGGCGACAAAGATGGGAACAATAGACCGAATAATGTAAATAGTGTACATAATATCGCATCTCAGAAATATAGACAAATACTGAAAAAAAAGAAGCTTATACTTAGAAGCAGAAAGGAGCAGTAAAAAAATCCTAGAGCACATAATAATTGATTGATTCTTTTTCTACGGCTTAGCAAACTTTTTATTTGAAGCCAGAGAATATTTTTTTTTACATTGCAAGAATGTTTTTCGAATAATAATGATTTAGTAATAAAAGTCTTACTAATTAAGAGAAGAGGTTGATTCCTATCTTTCACAAGGTTAGACTGCACGTAAATGAATTTAACTGAAATTGGAACTCGGCTCTTTTATTAACACCTCCGTGACATTATCCATTCCACCACACGCAGATTGAAGCTTACAGCACCTGGTATTCCCAAGCGGTTACTCATTTAGGTACTGGCAAGGCTCGACGTTGCTTAATTACGGAGATCGTATGGAAACCGATCTTTGAAAGTGATGTGACTGCAAGCCGTCTATATTGAGAAAAGGGGGTTAGTAGAATTTGGCACGCAGAGGACATATTGAAGGAATGAGGAGTAAAAGTAAATCGGGAGTAAATTACCTAATGTGATTATCCATAGATGGCGAAAGACGGGCAAGAATTTATGGTGAAAAAGAAAGTTTACTATGAGCTAAAAGGAATATAAATATGTCGAAAGCCATAATGGACACATCACATAAAATGAGAAGATGGCTATGTCTGTGGTCTCATCGAGATGTTAAACCTCCATTAGTTTTGAAATACCAAGGAAGTCGTAATATTGGACATCCTGAAAATCTTGCAAGAAATCTAGATGCGTACATGTAGTCCCTCCATACGTCGTCCTGAAGTCTGCTAGAGATTTAAATAAATGTTATTTTTATGGTATAGATATTTAATATAAAATGCCATATTGAATTGATATAATAATTTATTATGTAATACTCAGCCTAACAGCGCTATAGTTTTAATCTAAACTAAAAAAAAATAATGCTCAGAAATGTAGATTAAATTTCTCTACATGAATATATATTTTTAATACACTTTCTATTTATACGTTAATTTTATAGATACAAATATTTAAGTAAACGGTCGTTTTATAATAAACAGTATTAAATACATTTACCCACCGGAATGTCCGAGAAATTTAATAGACATTATTTTTAAAAACTGTAATGACGTTTGCGTGTAGGGTACAGGTTCGATTCCTGTCGGAAGACACATATATTCCATGAAATTTCTCGGTCATTCCTGCATGTAAATGTAGTTAATAGCGTTTATTACAAACAGGGCGTTTACTTAAGTATTTGTATCTGACGTTTTCAACAAAAAATATATTAAAATAATTTTTGGACTTAGTCCATTTCACTATGTGTGTATATGTGTGTGTGTGTGTGTGTGTGTGTGTGCCGCTTATACTGATATGAATATAGTCGTCTATACATACCGGCATGATCACATACTTACAAGTATGCGTATACGCGCTCACAAATGTTTCTTAATTTATATACGTTCATACATATATCAGTGTCTTTTTTTTTATAGTTTCAATCCATGGACTTTCGTAATGAGTTTAAGAGGCCAGGTGTTTCTGAGAGTGAAAGAGAACGAGGAGGACCTACTGAGGGTAAAATAACACAAGAAAAATAGGATTTAAGAAGTCACTGATATTCGTAAATGTTTTAAATGGTCGTGACCCGGATGCAAGAAACCAGACAAGTGTTCAACAAAGTGTTCAATGCGAGAGTTGTATAGGATTCTATGAATCTGATAACACGTTTGACACGCAAAAAGACAATATTTTAAATCAAACTTTACCATGTAATAAAAACTAATTTCCAAACGCACCTACTTGATAATCAAAGGTAATTGAACGAAATCTTTTGAAATTTTATTAGGAATCGATTTTTAATTAGAAGTTCAAAAATTTAATTCCTACTCTATGTTAAAAGTGACGTACGTGAAGCAGTACATTCAATTTACCTATTAGAAAACTTAATCAATTTTTAATATATTAAAAGTAAGTATTCAATAACAGAGAAATCGATATCTTGATTGAATTTTGGAATTTAATTCCGTCTCTCAGCATTCGCATGCTTGCGAAATAAGCTACTGCTATAAAATTGAAATAAATCCCATAAATTAAATTAATACTACTGAAAAGATGCTTGGAAGTGTAAAGGAAATGATATGGTCTAATATAAAACTTATCAATTATTTTATAGAACGATGTTTTAGACATATCCTAGTTTACTAATTAATATCATATCTATCTATCTATCTATCTATCTATCTATCTATCTATCTATATGTTTTATTGAATACATAGATATATTGTGATTGGTTTTATTCTGATCTTTGCCAGTTTCATGATGTTAATATGAAATTCATCAAGGAAAACGGTGTAGTAATTTGTAACTCAAGTAGTTTCGATCTTTACCAAGATCATCTTCAGGGATAAATTACAGAGAAAATCTTATTGTAATTGCGATTTCTATTGAGAGATTTTACGATTATGATTTGATTTTTCACAAGATTACCCTTAAATTACCAAAATAAGGAGACACGGTATGTCTTTATTTTTCCGAGTTATGCAGTTGATGTAACTTTTGCAATTTATTTCATATTAAAAAAAGAGTTTTATTTATAATATTTTAATTTACATAAATTATTGAATTTGAAACACTATTACAGAACAGTGAATAGAATATTTTGAATTCATGGAGCTACTGTATACACATCCACACATTAACCAACTGAAGATGGTCTTAGATGTGATGGAATGTACTTGGTAAACTAAAAATTATTTTAAAGAAAATTTGAGTAATTTTTTGGATCATCTCTTTGCAGCCACCAAGAAATTAATTCGTGAAATTGAAAGAATAAAAATTGAAATAAATAGATATAATACCTCTAATCCTCTAAATTATTTAACCATACCTGCTTCTATCGAAATGTGCAGCTTATATATATATATATATATATATATATATATATATATATATATATATATATATATATATATATATCGCAGAGCCGAGTTCGAATTCAGTCGAATCCATTACATTCACTTACGTGCTAATACCCTTGGGAAAGGTATGAATCCTCTTCCTCTCCCTCCAGCTATGGGTAAAATAGCAGGACAGACTGGGTTCTATAGCCTTGGATAGCAACTGGTCTAGGAGAAGGAAAACTCTGAATTCAAAACCTGCGGAGGGTCGTTTGGGGACCTTGTGGCATTCGGTGCACCAGGTCTCTGTATTCGTCCCTTCAAAAAGTTTGGATGGTCCTGCACGAGGCCTTCACCACTATAATCAAATCTCATGTGCCGGTGTCGGGCTGTCGGTTTCCTGGAAACTGATCTGCTTGACCCAAGTTTTACATTGGTAGCACAACGAAAACATTCAAAGAACGCTTGCGGAGGCATATGCAGTCTTTTAATAACAGTGACTATAGGTACACGACTTCATTATCCAAGTACTTTTGGAATCTAAAAGAAAAGAACAAGACACCTACGGTTAAATGGACATTGATTAAGAAAGCCCGAACATGTAACTCCCTATATTCCCCATGTTACCTATGTCTTAACGAAAAATTTGAAATTATTAGATTTAAAAGCAAGGCTGATCTCTTAAATCAAAGATATGAACTAACTGTTAATTGTAAACACCGTTATAAATTTAACTTATTATAGGGGTCGTATACTTTAAATGATAATGATATGTCGCTGTAAGTTTAATTATAACATTTATGGCCTGATGGCCAATCTGACGATATGAATGTGTATTGTATAACTACATAGTGTTATTCTTTTTTCTGTATATATATATATATATATATATATATATATATATATATATATATATGTATATTTGTGTGTAGTTATGTGTGTTTGTACTGTGGAATGTGTATGTTTGTATATTAGTGCATTAATATATTTGCTAGGTTTTGTATATATATATATATATGTGTGCATGTGTATATATATATACATATATGTGTATGTATATATGTATATATATGTGTGTATATGTATATATGTGTGTATATGTGTGGATATATATAAAGTAAGAAGATAAAAAGGAGGAGAAGAAGAGGTTAAAAATATTGATGTATATGTGTATGTATGTGTATTTGTGTATGTGGGTATGTGTGTGTATATATGTGTATGTATGTATGTGTATGTAAATATGTATTTATGTGTATATATGTATGAATGTGTGTGTATGTATGTGTAGATGTATATATATGCGTGTATTTATGTATAAGTGTATATGTATGTGTGTATTTATGTATGTGTATGTATGTGTATGTGTATGTGTATATATATATATATATATATACATATATATGTATGTATATGTATATATGTGTGTGTATATGTATATATCTGTACTGTTATGCTGTGTACCTAAATTTATATTTACATATACTTCTGTTTGTATGAATGTCTTTATATATGTATGTTAGGAGACATGTATTTTTGTGTTTGCGTGTATATGGCTGTATGTCTATGTCTATGTATGTGCATGTATGTATGTCTATGTATGTATTTGGTTGAATGTCGTTGTATTTATGTGTATGTAGGTATATATGTGTACTTGTTATTATAGATAGATATATTATATATATATATATATATATATATATATATATATATATATATGTATGTGTTTGGGTGTGTGTGTATATATATATATATATGTGAGTGTGTGTGTATGTGTTTACTTATGTATGTTTGCGGTTGTATATGTGTATGTTGACACCTATTGTATATGAGATTGTGTGTACGTGTAGGTATGGAAACTTGGGTATGTCATTACGGCCACATGAGCTAGTATATGTGTGTATATATGTTTATATTTGTGTATTGATATGTGTATATATGTATTTTTAAGTGAATATGTGTACATATATATGTGTGTATAGTTGTGGGTATATATGTGTATATATGTGTGTATGTGTACTTGTTATCATGGAGATATATACGTATGTATATGTTTATGTATTTATGTGTATGTAATTCTGTGTGTATGTATATATGTGTGTGCATATATATATATGTGTGTGTGTGTAAAGAAAAATTATTATATGTATGTATGTGTTTATGCGTGTGTGTGTGTGTGTGTGTGTATATATATATATATATATATATATATATGTGAGGTGGACATCGAAGTTACCTATGGGTGTTGACTTTGATGTCCGAATTTATATTTACATACACTATTTTAATATATTAAATAATATTATTTTTAATTATTTTTATCCTTGTACATTTGCTCGCTTAAGTTATATTTCAATAAATTGTGAGCATTTGTGTAATGACACTTCCAGTCTTAAATATTTATTGGTTGTTGTATCCAATTGTCTGGGTCAATGTCTGTGGATGTGTGTGCATGTATTTATAATTGTCTATGTGTATGGAAAGTGCATTCACTTTTAATCGTGTATGTATGTACGTGTGTGTTGGTTCCCTCCACTCCC